ATTTATATTAAAGTTATTGTACAAAATTTTTAATTTTTAATTATTTGCAGATGCGTTATCACCCCTGAGGACTAAGATACTCGTAGAATGCCTCGTTCGTAAGAAAATATAGGTCCATGTGAGTCCAAATAATGTTTTAGAGACTTGTTGTATTTTAGAAATTTAGAAAGAAAGAAGATTTTAGTATTTAATTATGTACTGATAGTTTTCTAACTTCTTATAACCGAGAAAATTATGGCACATTTCATTTAATTTAATATTAAAAGTTATGTCCATTCTGTTAGCTTTCGTATTTGCGGGTCTATGGAAATTTCTTCTTTTAATTTAGCAAAACTAATTCGCGATTATTTGATTTTAAGATGCCTAAGCCTTCACCGCTCTTATTAATTGCAATTAAAATGCATTTGTATATAAAACTACAGTTAAACAATATCTATAAATATAAAATTTTTAGCCGACTTCAAAACAAGGAGTAGTTTTACTATTTCACTTTTTTTTTACTGTTTTACTTTTTATCTACATTAGAACCACGCTCTAACAGAGTAATACAGCAGCTTAATGCTGCTGTGTTTCGTATGGTGAGTGTTGAGAACCGGAGACCCTTTTTACAGAAAACGAGGCATTCCATCTTAGTCCTCAGGGAGTAAAAAACGTAAGAATATTAAATTATTTATTAATTCTTAATCGAAGACAGATGTAGATGACTATGGGCCATAGCATCTACTATCCAGTGGGTTGTATTCTCGGTTATTACCCTTGTTTTATAAAATAAAATAAAAAATAAGTGCTAATGGACTTGTGGCGGCGCTGTCGTCGCGCCACAAGCGAAACACATCGAAGCCTAAATCGCGCTAACAAAGTTCCGAAGATAAATCAGTATATATAGAATAGCTCCGAACTACCACTCAGAACGTTGGCCGCTCCCCGGGCAGAACACCTTGCCGGGTGGGAGATCTCCCCTTTTCCTTTCACCGCCACAGACTTAAAGTCCGACTGATAGTAAGCAGTTACTGCAGCACATGGACACCTGCAATCAACTTCAAACAAAGGCTGCAGATGCCTCACATCCTGTAATTATTCTATTTTCTCTAAACCCTTCAGATCGAAATACAGAAGTGCAAACACTGCTATTTGACGCCAGGAATTGGTGAGAGGATGACACCTACTCAGACGGATTCCTAGGCATAAAAGTAATCCTACAACCCAGTAAAATATATCCTACCACCTATTAAAATGTGTCCTACACCCTGTGTTTTTTTATCTTGTTTTTATAAGATAAGGTGACAAATGAGCACACGGTCCCCTTGATGGTAAGTGGTTGCTGTGGCTCATAGACATCTACATTAATCCTCGTTTGTGAATCAAAATGCAGCTGCGTTGTCACCCGTGAGGACTAAGATTGAATGCCTCTTTTCCAGTAAAAAGGGTCTCCGGTTCTCTAGACTTACCGTACGAAATACAGCAGTGTTAAGCTGCTATTTTACGCTGGTATTCTGTGAGAGCGTGGTCCTTCCCCGGTCGAGCCGACCCATTCGTGTCGACTATACTACTAATATAACTGCAGCATGGCTCTACCACGTATAATTTACTGTCAAATTCCATACTTTACATTTTAGTTCAAATATTTCCGTTGGACTTCTTTTGTGAAACAGATTAAAGTTTAAACCTGAGATTAATTATAAACTAATTATTGTAATGAGGCGGTTTGTGTACTGGGTATCGTTTGGGTTTTGCGTAGGCAAAACTGTAATCAAAAATAATAAAGATTATTTTACATTTAGAAATATTACAAATAAAATTTGCATTGAAAAAAAATTTGCTTGACATGTGTCTCTACTATTGTAGAGAAAGTTTACTGAGAGGAGGTCTAACAACTTTGACTTTGCTCCACGTCGCTAGTCTAGGAATTTTACATGTGTTTTATAAGAGATAATAATATTACCGTTTATCGGAGGAATAGAGCAACACGGGCCACCGACGTACAAGAGGGGAGTAGCCATAGCGTTTTTTCTCGATACAGAACTGTCTGTCATTTTTTGCGAGGTGAAATATCAAAAAACTTCTCTAAAAAGTCTGTCACTACGAAAGTCACATATAATATAGCAATAATATGATTAAAGTTACATATATGGTACAGGTGGACTGTGTGCTCGTTTTTCAGCATATCCTACAAAATATAGCTTAGTGTGGCGTCGCGGCTAAGGGACTTCTTTAGTTATAAAAACATTTAACCTATAGTTTAGGTCCAAGTCTATCAATAAAGCACATTTTGTAATAAGACGGATAGATTTTTATCATAAATACGTCGGCTTGATCCGGGAACGAACACGCCAAGCTGTCATATAATACTAATATAATGTGCTTCGTATGGTGAATGAAAAGAACCGAAAACCCTTTTAGCTGGTAACAACATTCCATTTTACTCCTCAGGGGTGAAAATGCATATCCGATTTTGGTCCTTAACCGAGTATAAAAGTAGGTGTCTATGAGCCACAGCATTCACTTACTATCAGATGGATAAAGTTCTTGTTTATCACCCTTACTTCTTCTCTAAATAAAAACCGAACAAATGCGAGTACGACTTACGCCCTGAGGGTTGCGTATAAACTTAATGATGTACGTAGATAGATAGTTCATCTATCTCGGAAATTATACTCGTAGTTAAGATAAGCCCGAACACTACTCGAACGACGAAAATGTAAGTCGGGTTGAAGGACAAATTTAACTGCAGTGAAAAAATGTACTTCCCTTCATCGGTCTACATCACGGCCGATATTTCAAATGTAAAGATGAGTTTGTAATCGAAAAATATATATTAATTTCCCTGATATAACTAAAAATTTAACAATATTTTTCTTTAATTTTGCTAGGAGACTTTGCTTCTTGCCAAATTTCATAATTCTAGGTGAACGCGAAGTACCCTATAGGTTAATGATTTCTTATATTTACTCTAACACTACACATTGAATAAAACTACTTTTACGGATTATATCGCGTTTAATTAAATTGTTTTTATATTGATTCCCGACATTTCAGGTACTTTACAGCACCCATGGTCACGGGGGACTGAGGTGATTGACGTCCCGATGTCAGAGTTAACCCAGAGTACCTTCAGCGTTTTTAATTATTAATTTTGGTCCAATCTACGCAGAATGAACTTACTGTGTCTTGAAATCTTGCAGTGGTATGCTTGGGTTTAGTTTTAATTTAATTAATTACAGGAGGATTACAGGTGGTAGTACCCAGCCTCGCTCTCTATTGAAATTAGGATGTTTTTTTTTTTAATTTCAATAGTCTCACGTATCATCCTTGGCAGGAATCGATGTTCTTTCGCGAGAATTTGTGGTTTATCAAATCTAATGTAATGGCGGGGGCCGTCTAGGATATGATCACAAATTGCAGACTTCCCCTATAAGTTTTGATGAGTGAGTTTACGAGTATTTAAATATGTGACATAAACAGCCATACATTTTCGATGCGTTGTTTTAGAAACTTGAATTTTTTACACCTCCTAAGGACCGTATAGTTTTTTTTAATTTTAATTTTAATTTGACACTAGTTACAACTTGATAACTCTACCCATTACTGAAAGGCGGACGGACAACAAAGTGACCCTATAAGTGTTCCGTTTTTTCCCCTTAGAGGTAAGAAACCCTAAAAACATACATACTATCTTTTAAATAATATACCTTTTATAAGGTTGAAGTATCCGTTGAACTTACAGTCATGGCAAATGACTACAGAGGTGTTGTTATCTCTAAAGACTAAGATGAAATGCCTGTAATCTGTAATCGTACTGGCTCTCTGTACCGGAACACAGAGTGCACGCACTGGTACATAGCGGTAGGAAAAGGTAAGAGAGCAGGTGTTACCCTGCCAAACAGCCTCCTAGACAGAATTTAATATAATAATTTAATAAAATTATTATTATTATTAATATAAAACAAATTGGAAACATTCAAGCATTAACATTGTAATTGCTGATGATCTCACACTAAATCCAGTAAGCTTTTAATTCCATGGACTCATTAAATATTTTAATGAAGTGTAATTCAAGAATGTCTTTTATAAGTTCTTCTGCTTCTGTTAACTTTGTTTTAGGTCATTACGTATGGAATTCGTGCCCGTGTTTATTTACCTAAACAACAAAATTATTAAATAAACATTTCACAATTCATAGACTGCTCCTGTCTGTTTTGATTTCTTTTTTTATTATTCTAAGCCGGTGCTTCAATACTATTCCACCTACTATGGAAAGTGGTGATGCAGTCGAAAACGGAATATTGATACCAGATTTTTTTATTGAGTCGAATCATTGTATATTGATTACGTTTATACTGTATACATCATGGTTTGAGCAAATAAATTATTTGTCCATGCAACCAAAATGATAAGGGTTATTTTTATAATGTAATATTGAAATCTGGGCAGGTTATAGGCAGTCATTTGAAGACAAACTTAGTCTTTTTTATTCAGAAATATTTCATTTTAAATGAAGTTCAATTTACAAAAACAAAATCAATTTGAAGGAAACCTAGTCGTAGGCACAGCTTTTTTTTTCATAACATTAGGAAACATTTACATTACTAAATTACTTGTTTATAATAATTCACGAACAATATAAGTCTAATATTATAAAATTATAGCCAAAACTTAAGGTTTTTATAAAAAGATTTTAGATTTAATTTTGAAGTTTAAAAGATTATTTACAAATCCGCTACTATTTCATACAGGTACAAAAAAATAACATATTAATTTTTGCAAAGCCAGTTTTAGCAATGAGTTCTTGAAGTACTACTTATTAATATTAAACACATTCTTCAAACATTAACTATGTACTTGTAAACGATAGTGATTACAACTATTATCAGACAAATGTTTTTCATTGTAATTACGAATTATTTACTATATGTGTTTAACATTTGGGTCATTATAACTATTATTATATTTTTGTGTATAATTTACCCTACCAAAAACACTAACTGTCAACAGTTACTTACGTTTTAAAGATCTTGGTTTCGCCTGTTTCCTTCGGGACATACTTCTATGAGGACGCTCTTAGAAATCCATGCAAAAGATAAAGGCGTCCACTTGTTAAAACATCTTTAGAATATAGCACAGTTCAAGTTCGTGTGATCGTAAGTAAATTATCGTAAAAGTACGAGGAACAAAACATCCGAGATGCAGGACAGGAGGGCGGTCTGGCGACGCACCCCGCACTTACTGAGCTTTCTGGCGCCCAACAAGTGGCACTAACAATATTGTAACCGCGCAAACTCCTACGTAAGATCACGATGCCGCCAATTTATTTCTTACATACGTTGTACTAGGAAGCGTTCACAATGCAAGTTTAGTCTGCAAAGCTATAGGTTAAAATATTTTTTTTCTAAGTAATGCAACATCTAATATTTAACCTTAAAAGCCACTTAAACATGCCTTAAATTTTACTAAATTATCTTTGAAAAAATAAAAATTGTACTGAAAGTATTACTTACGTGGTAGAGCCATGCTGCAGCTATATTAGTTGTATAGTTGTAGCACGAATGGGTGGCTCGACCGGGGAAGGACCACGCTCTCACAGAATACCAGCGTAAAATAGCAGCTTAACACACATTTTGATTCGCAAACGATGATAGATGTAGATGTCTATGGGCCACAGCAACCACTTACCATCAGGTGGACTGTGTGCTCGTTTGTCACTCTATCCTACAAAAAAATTACTCTTCATAACAACCATATAATAAAGAATGTGGTTGCCAACTCAGCTGCTAACTGTGGCAAATATTCTATATCCAGGCCTATCCAGCAGTGAACTTAGATAGGATTTAATGAACGAATGAAACATACCTTTATAATAGAAGATGCCCACGGCTCAACCCTTAGGAAAGATTTGCCGTAATGGGCACGCTTGGCCGACGAATTGACGATTACAGTACAAGGCACCTCGCACCTTTAAGAAACAGAAACAGAAACTTTTTTATTCAATATAGATTATAAATAATACTTATTGAAAGTCACTCTTTTGTTTGATTACCACTGGTTCGGAAAAAACCTCTGTCCTGGGAAGTACCAGCTAGAAATCCAGCGGGACTTTTTTTTAAATAACAGCTTACAATCATGATGTTACACAAATTAACAACACAACAAATTAGAAATAGCTTGGTAGCGACCACCTTATTTCCAGGGGTTATTATCATCCATAAATTCCTTAATATTATAATAACCCTTTTTATACAAACTTAGTTTAATAAAGTTTTTGAACTTTGAGCAGGTCAAATTTTATATATTTTCTGGAATTTTGTTGTAAAAGCGTATACATCGCCTTAAGAATGAATTACTGACTCGATGGAGTCGAGTAACTGGTATTACTAGCTTGTGTCTGTTCCTAGTATTTACAGAATGAATATCACTTATTTTTGTAAAACTACTTTTATTTTTGTGTACGTACATTACATTTTCATAAATGTATTGAGAGGCCAAAGTTAATATATTAATTTCCTTAAATTTTTGTCGCAGCGACTCTTTAGGCTTTAAATCATAAATTGCTCTTATGGCCCTCTTCTGTAAAACAAATATAATTTCAGTGTCAGCTGCGTGTCCCCATAGCAAAATACCATGCGACATTATGCTATGGAAATAGCTAAAGTAAACTAGTCTAGCTGTTTCAACACTGGTAAGACTTCTAATCTTTTTTACAGCATATACTGCAGAACTAAGGCTATTGACCATCGCCGGCATTTTACGTCGGATGGTTAGACCACCTACTATCATAAGCCATGAGATCCTTTCGCCTTTTCCCAGTCTTCTTTGACGATACCCACGGAATGTAATGCGCTGATAGATTATGTTATTCCGCCGCCACACAGCAGGTGTGATATACTTAATGGGCGTAATATTGTACCTGTAGGTAACTATAATTACAATAAAAATTAAAACTTAAAAAAACGTGCCACAATTTTGACGATCAAACAAATGATTCAAATACAAATCTCGGATAATAACATCATCAGCATTTGCAAGTATGTAGTAGGGTAAACAGTACTAATGTTGGCACTCCTGCAATGATTGGCAATTTGCTATTTTAATTTGAATATTAAGAATGTTTTCCTTTTTTTATATCACAGCAACACAGATATTGCTACGATATTAATTACTTATACTAACAACACACATATTTATTTAAAGCGTCAACTATTTTCCTATGAGGGCTATTTTTAAAATGAGCTTGGACCAATCCGTTAAAATTTAACAAAAAGTTAAGGTTTGGTTGCTATAGTATTTTGAAAAAAAAAAGTGATTTTTATGCAAGTTTCTATCTATTTTTATCAATTTACGGCTTTAAAACATATTAAACGTTATTTTATCCTTGTGAAAAAGAAGCATCAGCTTTTTTAATTGTGCCAATGACTATACTTTAATTTGCTTGACAACAATATTTATTGTAACAATATTTACTATATACGCTGTTGGTTTTCTGAATAAATTAAATAAATAAATAAACATAATCATTGGCATATATGTCAATCACTATACTTTCTTTCTTTTGTCCAAAATCTATTCGTGACACTGCCAATTACTGTATCCTTTGAGTAGTGCCAATGATAATGACTGACCTTTTTCATATTTTGAATTGATGAAGAATACCTATAGTTAACCTTTAAGTACCGACGTGCGGTCTGTGAGGCCCTGGAAGGCACTTGACTTGCTAGTTTACCCCTTTCCCCACGTAATACTTTTAAGTAGCTGCAAGGACAGTGCTCACGTTAACGTCGGAGCAGGAAGTGGTGACGTCGCACACGCATTTGGTGAGTAATTACGATTTAAATTTCTGACGCGGCCTCTCAGGCCGCACGTCGGTACTTACGTAACTGCTTTGTTTTATTTTTTGTTAAGGTAAACTGTTATTTTTACAGATATTGAGAATTATGAATATACTAGAGACTTCAAGTTGTAAAAGAAATAGTTCTGAGATAGATTTACAGCAATCAAAGAGATATGAACCCCGTGAACTAAGGATAAGTTTGGCAAAAGCACTTGGTTCTGATAAGCCAGAGACATCTGAAGATGAAGCTGACGAAGTCAAGACACGAAAGACTTGTCTCTCATGTCAACCTAAACTGAATAGAAAATCGATATATAGATGCTATTCGTGAAAAAAACACGTTTCTTTACAGTACGCGAAACAAGTTAGTTTTGTACGTGGTAGAGCCATGCTGCAGCTATATTAATAGTATAGTTGTAGCACGAATGGGTCGGCTCGACCGGGGAAGGACCACGCTCTCACAGAATACCAGCGTCAAATAGCAGCTTAACACTGCTGTGTTTCGTATGGTGAGTGTAGAGAACCGGAGACCCTTTTTACGGAAAAAGAGACATTCTATCTTAGTCCTCACGGGTGACAACGCATCTGCATTTTGATTTGCAAACGAGGATAAATGTAGATGGCCATGGGCCACAGCAACCACTTACCATCAGGTGGACTGTGTGCTCGTTTGTCACCCTATCCCATAAAAAAAATAAGTGTGCCTTGCCTGAGCTTAGATTTTAAGGTGTAGTTGGACTGTGGTCATTTTTTTCCATAAGGTTTGTGTTCCTACTTTTTTTTTATAAAAGTTATATACATCATAAGTAAGAAATACTATATTTGTTTTTCTGAGAAGATTATTCTTCGTGTTTTGATTTTTTATATCTAATAGTCGGATTTTAACCCAAAACTCCAGCCAAATATTATTGTAGTCTTTTTATACTTATTTTTACTTAAAACCCTTTACTTTTCATCATAATTCAAATACGGATATTTAAATCATCACTTTCTTTAAAAAATACTACATAATATACGTGGCCTCTCAGACCTCACGTCGGTACTAACGTTACAAAAAATGCACGTCGGAAGGTTAAGAGCGGGCGCTTTGGAAGCTATGAAAATGGTATGGAAAAATAACTGCCGCAAAAACTTTTAACAATCCACACGCTAATATACAGTTCCCGCTAAATAAGTAAAGTCAAAAAAACTAGAAAAGACGACCTGGTCCTGACACAGTTTTCGATGTTATAAAAATGTCAATGATGTGGGGTTTTTGAATAAAAACCCCATACTGAACCGTTTTATAGAGGGAGAATAAAACGGATCATGCCTAATCGAAGTCCTGCTTCACTGTTCTTCGGAGTAGACGGCAAAACCTACGACTATTTTCCTCATATAGAAAATATTATATATTATATTCATATAGAAAATGCGAGCAGACGTTCAAAAATTAGTGCCTAGAGAGAGGGGTATTTACTATCTTAAATACGTTATGTACTTATCAGAATATAGGTATATAAAGGCAGAACTTTTTACCCATTACGAATAAAACGTTTTTTATTTGTCCTACAATAAAGAATGTCTTTTTTTCAGTGATTATTTTTGTAGATGGTCATAAGAGCAACACTTATCTCGAGCTGGCGCAACTTTGCCCAAGTCTCGCCATAATACTTATAGTCCAGAACCAGAATGCGCGGCTATTGCAACCAGCTGATATCACTGCATTTCGGCCCATCAAAGATATGTGGCGTAAACCTGTCTTCGAATGACGGACAAAACAATTTGACAAAAAGGCTACTAAAACAGATGCGGGCCTATACTGGCAACACTTTTACCATATTGAAATAAATCCACGTTATGAAATGGTTTTGAAACATGTAGGTTGTGCCCATTTAGTTCAGACAAAGTGGATCACAAGTGTCTGATGCCCTCGAAATCACAGCAAGCTATTTTAGATGATCACCGTTCCGTGCATATGAATTACCAAATATTTTAAGAATAACGACTATTAACGACTGAATCAGAAATACCTATATCAAATTGCCTTTTATCCTTTCACTTAATAATTACACATCATAACAATATATACATTTATCAGTAACAGAGCGTATTCAAGCTACGAAGATTATTGTTGAGTGTAAAAAAGAAAACTAACCCTTATGTTTTTCATATTAGGCAGATGGGTGATCGTGGATGTCGAAGCAAACAAAAATATTTTAGAAAGTCCTAAAAATAT